TTCCCTCTGGTCAGGCTCCTGTTCAGAGTGAGCTGCCTGCCCTCATCAATCTCATCGGAAGATGAGATTGAAAAGAAAGCCACAGCTCCTTTACTGGCACTTTTATGCCATCAAGGGTGTTGGCTAAGGAGCATCACTCTTGAAGGGCTTGGCTCCCTTTCCCTGCCAGGAGAAACTCCTGCCAGTGGGAGGGGAGTCAGGGCAGGGCTTGACGTCAGGCTCCTCCATGCGTGTTTTATCATCTGCTCTCTGCGTGTACAAAAATGTGACCTGTAGGCTGCTGAAAAACAGGTGAGATCAGCTACTCTAAGATGCAGATATTTTGGTCTGTGTTTTCCTTTGCAGAAATTAGCCTCAGGCCTGTGTTGAGGCTCTCCTATGAGTTTCTTTCATAGTCAGCAGAGTAAAAGAGGCATCCTTACAGTGAGATTTAGAGCCTAAATCTCCCTCAGTATGTGCAAGAAGGCACCCTAAGGGTCTTCTTTATTAACAGTAGTAGCATCCAATAGAGATTAACCTTTATATACATCCACTGCTTCTCTAAGCTTTTGGGTTGAGACCACTGAGGTAGGGAACCTAAGCAGCTGGTCTAATTGTTAGCAGTGGGGTACCAAGACTAATTTGTTACTGCCTTTATCCACGCATGCAAATATCACTATATGCACTAGCCCAAAAGTCCCTGGGGAAGCAGTTCCCTGCCTTAACTCAGTTCTTTACCACACAGAGTAGCTTCCTCCAAGTCGTTCTTTCTGCTTGCTCACGTGTCAGGAGAAACAGTCTCTTCTGAAAGGCTGAAAGTACAGATTTTCATGCAATCTCATGATTCCAGTAGCTCAGGCTTTATGCAACCACCCAAAATTGCGAGTCTTAATGACACCAAAATACAGGCACGGTTATAAGCTCATTAATAAAGCTACCCTACAAAATTAGAAAAATATGGTGTGTCCCTTTCCTTCCCCAAAATATTAAAAAAAACCAATTCTTGAGAGTGTGCCTTATAACTCTCTCTTTAGGAATGAGGAGTGCAATGCCATATTCATTGCTAAATGCAAAACACCAGGATTACCAGCGTCACAACGATGCTTGTTCTCTGTAACACTCTTTCACCAAGATATCTAAGTTTTAGAAAGAAGTTACTTACCGCATTCCACATTATACTAAATATATACATACAGTTGGGCTTTTCAGCCTATATGTTTGCAGGTTTAGCTGGGGTGGCCAGCCCAGTGACCCGGTGGTTTATTCTAACCCACTATAATTAGCCCATGATTGTTGCTAACCGTATGCCATTTGTCTCCCCACACTCAGCACTGTTTGGTAAACAATTTCAGAGACAGAGTTGCTCTCCCCTGATCTCACTAGGTGGTGTTCACTTATTTATTCTCTGCACCCCACAGTTATTCCTCTCTCTTGAGACTGAGAGTTATAAAAGTGGGAAAAAAAGGGCAAAAATTTGCCAGAAGAGGGAAGTAGCTGCAGCAAAAGACACAACTCAACTGGGGAGGCAGGAGGCGAGCCTGGCAGGAGGCCAGGCCAGCTGCAAACTGAGGGGCACAACGGACATCTGTCCCCCACAGCCCACATCCTCACCCCCCCATGCAGATGCATTGAGATGGGAGAGGAGGCAGACATGAGGAATTCCCTTCTTCTCCTGGGAGGAGCTGGCTCCTGGCCATGGCACGTGTAGGGCTTGGGTGGTAGGCACGAGCCTCAAACCCAAATCTGGCCCAGGGAAGGAAGGTCAAACTGCGGACTGGGAAGCAGCTGTTTGCAGCCCTCGCAGGAATGCAGGAGCAGAGCTGGGTGGCAGGAACTGGGGCTGCAGCCACAGGGAGCAGTGCCCTCAGGAGGAGGTTGCCGGTGAGGTTGGGACTCTGCCAGGAAAGGCAGCAGCCCCTCAACTCGTGGGCAGCACCTTTGCAGCTTGCTGCAGCAGGGATGCTTGGCTTCACTCCCAGCAGGGCTGCCATGCACTGCCACCGTGTGCTGGAGGGGCGATCATCAAAAAAGCCCCTCTCCCTGGGACAAACAGGCAGTGCTGATCAAGCTGAACCTGCATATGGGTGCATGGGTTTGGCCAACGCTGAAGCTGCACTGCTGGGGGTGCAGGATTTCTTAAGTCCTCTTCCTCAACCATGAGATCTGATCTTCCCATGCAACATTGCAAATCCAGTCAGGAGCCTCCTGTTCATGGATGGGAGTGGCTCCACCATGATGCTGACATGAGACAGTCACAGAAATGACTCCTGGCAATCTACTACTTTGACCATAAGCTCCTTTTCCTCTCTGTGTGCTCTCTCCCTTCCTAAATCCACCCTCTCACATTCTCTCAGTCTTAAACCATTATTTCCATGGTATGAAGAAAAGAAATTCAAAGGATTCAGGAAGGTGAAAAAGTATTCTTAGAGGTGAGGAATGGGGCCAACCCACTGGAATTACCCACAACATCTAATCAGCCCTTTTCAGCAACTTTGGGCATCCTCCAGCATGCCTTCCATGACAATTTTGAATAAATACAGCATACTTCATGACAGGCATGTTCTCACATTGCCCAGTCACCCACAGAGCACATTGCAGTAGCCAAGTGATAGATCTGAAAAATTTCATTTTCCACCTCTATCTGAAAATAGGGCAGGCTGTGGCCTCAGCATCTGACTGTCCCTCCAGATGAAATCCCAAATGACTGTGTGTCTTCACTCTCAATTCTGCACTTTGCCTTTAACTCGCACGCAACAGAGGTGTGCGCATATTTGGACCTATGTCTGGATACGCAAGGAAAGCACGTGCATGTATGGATTTCTACATGTGCAGATACACGTGTGTGTTCGTGTGGCTCTGTGAGAGGGTGTGCACACTTGTCAGTCTGTAGCTTTCGCAAATGCAAGAGCTTTCACAAACGTATGGGTCTGGCAGTATAGAAGTGTTGGTCCACTTGCAGTATGCCAGCACAGATACAGACAAAAACAGAGACACAGGCAGGCTAAAAGAGCTGCAGGCACCCCAGTGGAGGTACCCATGGGGGCACTTCCCACTGCATGGCTTTTCAGCCCCACTGCACTCCCTTGCTCGGACAAGGTCTCTGACCCTCCTCTGCATGGGCATTCAGGCAAACTTACAGACTAACCTTGTTAGCGCACACCAAGAGAAGTGCAAAGAAACAAACAAAACTTCTCATCCGCTCTCTCCTTCTCCATATCAAATTTTGCTCCAGAGATCACCAAAAATATTCTTACCCAGATTCAAAGCCAGATTAACAAATTGTGAGCAGACAAAAGGTGATGGCAGCTGAGGAGTGACCACCACCCACCCCAGCCTTACCCTCTCTTCCAGCCCAAAGAAGGATTCACTCTAACAGCCTTTTGCAGTGTCCTGGACAGGGCTACAGAGCTGCAAGAGCTCTGCTGCACCAGTGCTGGTGATTGGCAGAACTACGAACTTCACTGCCAGCTTCCGCTTCCCTCTCTCCTCTTTCCTCATCTGCTTTTCCCAAAACAATATTTCCAGATGAGAGGTGAGGAGTGTCTTACCACAGCAGGCTTGTGTATAATCACTGCTCAAGATCAGCCAGACTGAGATGCTCAGGAGGTGCACTGCCTTTTCCCCCACTAGCTGCTCTCAGTGTCCAACAGCAACAATGGGAGCCTGCCCTCCTGGAGCTGAGCACACCAGCTGGTGTGAAACACCTGGTCCTGCCAACACTGCCAAAATATGGGGTGGCGGCTGCACCAAAATAGACTTCACATGTAAGGAGCACAAATAATGGGCAAGGAGATCTGAGTTATTTAAGTCTAGACAAATAAGTATCTGTATGCTTGAGGAGCCAAATGACCACTTTCTTGTGCCTGTCTGCTAGATCAGACTACAATGGCTGGGTCTTCTTTTGTTTATAGCTGTGATACCTCATGGCGCCGGAAATGCCGAAAGCACTGTCTTTCCTCAGGGAGAAATCTCGCAGGGATCTCATGCAAGAGCTGAATCTCTCTTCAGTTTTCTCCAGGTACCAAAGGATCCATACAATGTTAGAACTATTTCAGTTCTCACTAATTTCACACAAAATATTTTCCAGGATGGCTACCAATGGTATATATACATGTTATTTTCATGTTTGGTTTTGACTTGTGAAGGCTCTAACAACATGGAACTCCCCTCACCCTTCCCAAGCCCATTATTTATTTGGCTGGGTTTTGCAGCAGTAGATGAAGAACACCGAGCACAACCACCTGTGCTTTTGCCAGAGACATGTTCAAGGCTCCAGTAACATGAATCATGGCTTTTGGAAGATTTGGACTGGAATGAGTGAGGGAGAGGAAGGTGAGAGACATCCCTTTTTCTGCCGTGTTCCTCAGCCTTAGTCCTTCTCAGTTCATCACAGGCCAACTAATATATATGTCTGTGCTTGACTTCGCTCAGTCTTAATAAGACTGAATATGTTAAAAATCCAGAGGGCCCAAGGAAATGGGATGGTCTTCCCACTTTTTGTGTTATCCACAGTGTCTTGCAGATTATCCAATGCTTACACTTCTGTTTCCAAAAAAAATCCCAAACTAAATAAGATGAAAATGGACCCAACCCAAACCACTGGATTTTTTCCCATGCAACATAATTAAATGGAAAATTAAAATTAATTTAATCTCTGTTTCTATTCAGTACATTCTTCTTATACCCACGTTCAAACAGCAGTCCAGTAATCTTTTAGTCCAGCAATACTTACGTCCTTCCAATTTACCCATCATGTTTAAAGTTCAAGTACCTCATATGAGTGACTCATTCATCCACCCTTTCAAGAGTATAATAATAGAAATTCTTTAAAGCTTTGTGTTTTCAGCACAACAGCATTCCAATACGATCTAAGAATCACAGAGACACCCTCTGGTCCCAGGAGGACTGGGGAACAGGTTTGGCTAGAAAAAAAGTTTTACTCATGTGATGGGCACCCTACCAATCACACACCACGTTCCTCAAGCAACCTGTGCACTTTAAAGCCCAGTGGAGGTGGGAGAAAGGGGCTTTGTTGGCTTTGCAGTTGCATTGGGATCTCTGCTGGGAAGCATCACAAGAAGAGAGAGGTGAGTGCCTTGCTTTGGTCATCATCTTCCTCTTAATGAGGCATGTGAGCCATAAGTGTCTGTTAGGAGAAAAGGCAGCTCTTATGTTTAATGTCTTTTATTTTAGTTCCTGGACTGTGTTTAGTATATGGGAATCTGGTACCTGGATAAGATTAACTGCAGTAAATTATCAAGTATTTCATTTTTCTTCCTCTGGCTTCTCTTTGGCTCTTTTAATTTGTTTCATATTTTTTCTCCTAAAGACCGGGTAGGAAGGAATGGAAAAATTAAACCTGTTGTAAATCTGAGTGTAAAAGAAAAAAAGAAAAAATGTTGCAGAGGAAGATGAATCTTGTAATTCCCTCTCACTTGTGAATATAGGAAAGGAAAAAAAACCCTCTTGTTTTGGCTGTGCTGAACTAATAAGGGAGAGAGGAAAAACCTACCTCCCAGCACTATTTCCGAGGTAATTATGCTTGATGATGATTTACCATCCACTCCACTGTTCACACAGGCTTCATTTCATAGCAATCTCTCTCCAAAGGAAACTTAATTAGTCTCTGACCCCTTCTTGATGCCAAGCTTTGGTTTTGCTTTATTTTTCTCCCTGGTAGCACAAAATAACTGTCTGGCTCTTCCTTTTCGGAGTGTGGTTGACTACTAACATACAAGCAGTTCTCTGTCAGAGATGGCTGCACTTTGGGGTAGGTGGAGCATTGGGAAAAGTCCGGAGGGGCAGGAGGAGTGCACGAGTTTGTGTGCACGGGAGGTGTTTGCTTTAAAATAAGTAAACATATGATGAATTGATATTTGCAAAGCATTTGATTTCTTACAGTGAAGTACAAGCTCATCATTAACATATTAAATTACATCCTCTTAAAACCTGTGTAACTCTGATGATGACCCAAGCAATTGGAAAATACCTCCTTTTTAAGTCCCTTAGGGGCTAAATTTTCCACTGTAACTAATTAAAAAAAAAAAAAAAAGTAGGTTTATCACTTAATGCATCAGACTCCACAGCAGGTCCGGGTGTGGGCAGGTCTGTAGCTCACAGAGGCTTCCCACGGCACCAGTACTGGCATTGGCACAGCACCTCCGGCAGCGGTTCCGCCTCGGTGACTTCTGTCCATCAGCACCACAGGACTAGCCCAGGCATCTCCCTTCTGCCTGTGGAGACATGCTCTCCCCCAGGGCAGGGTGAGCACAAGGGATGGGAGGTGTGGTGCCGGGCCTCTGTGCCGGAGCGGGGTACAGGCAAGGACCGGGTTTCTGCCGTTGAACAGCTGGGTTTGCTTAGTTGCGCTCGAGTGGTACAGAGCCCTTCAGCCGAGGCGCGCGGAGCCCATGAGTAATAAGGCAAACGCGTCCTTTGTCTCTGCCTCCTTGCACCTGGGGATGGGAATGCAACGCCCTGCACGGGGACGCTGAGGCAGGAAGGGGTGATGTGAGACCCCTGTAAGCCCCACCACCATGCTGAGAAACCTCCGTGAGCAGGGTTTAGAAGCAAAAAATACTCACAGAGGTTTGGACATCCCTTTGTCACAATGCTTGACAAGTACCACAAAACACAAGACAATCAAAATGCCACTGGCTTCTGCATGTGACAATGCCAAATCAATTCTTATCCCGTGGCTTTTTTGTCAAGAGGTGGAATAGAGCTAGGCTAAAAAGGGGAATTCATCTGTAAAGCCACTGAAATCCTGTCCTGATCTATAGAAATAGGGTATGGAGGCTTCAAAAGATCAACCAGCCCAATGTGTGTGAAGGGCGCACAACAGAGCCCAAATTACACTTGAATCCAGGAACTGCCGGCAGAAGGGCTTCCTTTCAAACCCTGCATGAGATTATCACCTCAAACCCAAGGGCAGAAGCCATCCTCTGCAGAAAGAAGCTTCCTTTTCATCTCCCACAGTTGTGCTGCAGGTCTCACAGAGCCCTCATGAGTAGAGGAAGTGAGGAGAGGTCAAGAAAGCTCAAAGGGCATGGAAAAAGCAGATCTGTCTGCAACTTTTGGAGGAGCAGGGGGAGGGGGAGGCAGGGCTACCACTGCTCCTGAACTCGAACAGGCTCAGCTGGACCCAGGGAGCGTCAGGAGTATTTGAGGAGTCTGAGTGGAGAGGAGTGGGGACAAGTTGCAATCTGGGTTGAGACCAGTACATCAGAAAAAGGAAGAGATATGTGCTTCAGGAGGGATATAGGGTTTTTCCATACAATGAGAAAAACAGACACCTTTCCAAAGCTGCTTGGACTATGAAGCAAAGTCTCTGGTAATGATAATTGAATACCTCAGCTAAATTGCAAGGTTTTTGGGATGTACTGAGAAACACTGGGTCAAGGCTGAAATTTCAGGACCTGGCTGCTTTCTTATGTGGAGCTTTTGGATAGTGGTTGCACCTGAAGCTCCAGTTTCCTCTAGGAGTTCACAGAAGCCCCAGGAAACTGTATTTTGGTCATAAAACTAATCTTAACCAGCCCAGGAAGAAAGCTCCTCTACCTCCAAATGCATTTGTGTCCACAGGCAGAGGCTGATGCACCTGTGTCTCTGGGGGTTGGGAGAAGGGCTGCCTACCAGTGTCACACACGAGTTGTTGTCAGGTCACATCACAGTTGTTGTGAGTCACATCTCTGTGCAGCTTGCCTTGGGCAAGTTGGCCAAGGTTTGCCTCATGCCTCTGTACTCATGTACCAGCACCAAGTGCTGTGCTATCTGCTCTTGCTTAATGCAGCTTCCCTCTGAGGCCTGAGGAGCAGACAGTAGGTGGAAAGCTCCAGATCTTCCACAGCTTCTCCTCTGGGGCCTGTTGAAGGATTGGCTCTCCAGCTGCCCAGCTATTGTCACAGCCTTGGAGTACCTGGTCTCTGATCGGTAATGATGATACTGGACCACCTGAAATGCAGAAGGAGTCAGACAAAGGGTTGCCATATGTGGCACAGGGGAATGAAGTGAATACAAAGTAATGGACTCTTTCAATGCCAATGACTTGAGGTAGAGGGAGAATTCACAGAAATACCATTACAGTGGGTTTTTTTAGATCTACAGTAAAGGCTTTTCCTTCCCTTTTCCTCCTCCTGGTCTCTCTGCTTCTCTCCATGCTGCAATCCTATTGGACGTAGTTAAGGAGAAATAGAAACTTGCCACTCTCCAGCTGATACCTGTGTGGTGGTGACTGTGTCCAGTTTTCATCACAACTACAGTAGCCTAAGAGATGGGCTAACCCCAGGAGAAGAGGATTGCTTTCTCCAACTCATGTGACTGCAGTAATAGCTGCCCAAGGGGAGGCAGGAGTAAGCTGGGCTCTGCCTGACAATGAGGAGAAGAAAGCCAGCTTCTGGGGAGGCAAGAGCCTGGGCCAGATGGACAGCCCACATACAAAGTGTGAGCACTGTTGTTACACTGAAGAGGCATCTCACGCTCAACCATGGTATTTATATGGCAGCTGGAGCAGACCTGCTTTTCAATGTGGTAGTCAGAGTTCAAGTGCCTGCATTTGAGCAGGAAAGATTTCCTTGCTTTTTGGGCTGCTCCCTGGCTTGTCATGTTTCTTAGATTGCAATAACTAAAGGCTTTTCTAAAAATCTCTGGAGTTTGCAGCACATAGGTCCATGAGCCAGACAGCAATCTCTCCAGCTTTCAGATGAGTAGAGGACCAGGATCCATCTCAGGTTTGCCAGAATTTGCAGCGCTGTATTGCTGAACATGTGGCCAAACGTTGCCCAGATCCAGATTTGACCTGCAAAACAGTTTTATGTGACCCCCTGGACACACTCACTGGTCAGGAAGTTTGGCAGTGACAGAGCTTCAGGCTGACCTCATGAGCCTGCCATTTTCAAATACAGAGTCATACAGCTTCATATATATTGGTCTGGCCTCCAAACACCTGTTTGTGACTAAAAATGGCTTCTCACCCTAGAAATAATGGCCATGCCTACACATGCTATCATAGGAAAACAGAAAATACTTATGTGCTCTGCTGGTATAATGGTGAGAGCACTGGAGATGTCTCTATGCCTAACCCTCAAACCACTGCAGAAAGAGTAGTAGGAAATACCTGTTTTGCATCTGTCACTGTTGGAAGTCTTGCATACCCCAAATAGAGCAGCTGCCTAGGCAGCATTGTTAGAGGTCTCACAATTCTCTGTTGCTCAGGGAAGTCCCCTTCATTGACACCTGTGTCTGCTTATATATTCCCACAGCTTCTTTGAAGAATCATAGAGTCAGTGATCCCAGCAAGAGACACACAAGTGCAGGTACTCTGGCAGAAGTAGGATGTTAAAGCTGCTTTTCCTGTTGTCTGCTTAAGTTGGGCCGACTTCAGCCTTTCTTTCTGGGTTTATATTTTTATAACCACCTGGCAAATGCAGCTGTCTCTGGGTTTGGGTTTTTTCCCTCCCCCTCTCCATGCAGACACATGTTCCATCCCTTTGAAAGAAGGACTTCATAGGAGCTGGCATTTGAGCTTCTTTCTCCAAGAGGTCTCACACCACTGACTAGTGCCTTTATGCTCCTCTCTCTGGAAGGGGATGAATTTGACACGGGGCACCTGACTCCAGACTGCAGGATATAGCACTCTAAGGAATTTGGTGGGAACGCTACTTGGCCTGGCTCCCATGAACCAGCTGCAGCCTGAGCTACTCCCTCCCTCCCTCCCTCCTTCCCTCACACCTGACTTGTGGGGCTCAGCCCCGGTTTCCAACATGGGTGGGATATGGGCTACCCTTAGCAAAGTGCAGCCAAGCCCTGCACCAAAGGTACATGTGTGGGATACAGCTAAGGCACTGTGCTTACCACTTCAGTCCCATGGTAGTGAAACAGCCAGCAGAGTGGACAGCATGCTCTGGAATAACACTGGCTCCTTTGGAAGAGGAGTGAGGTGAGGGCACTGAACTTGTCTGCTGTCCATCCAGATGTAGCTGGTGTTTCTGGCTAGGTGGAAATGCAACACCATGAGCTGAGGTTGGCATGGGTGCTGTTGTGATGATGAAAACCCTACCCAAAACAGAGATGAAGACACGATGCTCTCAAAGTGGTCCCAGTCTTCTGTAGCTCAAGTATCGAGGAGAGTTATCAGATTACTTCCTGGGGAAGTTTCTCCTCTGAAACTACTACGAAGCAAGGGGTGAGAGGTGTACAGACAGGCTGGCAAGTTCTATCTATCTATCCTTCTCCTCAAGGAAAATTTCTATTTCTTTGTGAACCATATTGTACTGGTGGTCTAATTGAAGACTGTATTTGGCTTTTCCTAGGTTGCATGAAGAACTAAAGATGGCAAAAAGTGAGGACTGCATACACATTTTGCAGGGTCTATTAGTCTTTGGAAATGTGGTCATTGGGGTAAGTGAAGTGGAACAAGTACAGTGGAGGCTTCCTTCCAGTATGACACTTCTTAAAAACAGCAGTTTTCAGATGTGAAATCCTTCTTCAAGTGTGAAGTCCACACATAAATAGTCCAATAAAGTATGAGAGAAGAGGAAAAGGAGAGCTGTCCTAGATGATCAGTTTGGTGGGAAAGGGACAGCAGGGGCTGGTCCAGAAGATCAAGGTAAGTTCTAGGGGAAGAGTCCTAGAACTGTCATCAGTAGCTGACTAACATCTTTCCAGCCACCTCTCTCCATATAATGATGGAATGGTTCTGTTCATTCTTTCATAAACAACATCCTCAGGTCCTAGGCCAGACCTCTCAGGTCTAGGCTGGGTGAGATTTGCCTGCAGTTCTTCTGTGAAGTCACAATACAAGAAATTGTAGAGCTGGGCAGAGGAGGAGTTGAGTAGCCCCCATTTGTCAAGCAATCAAATGAAAGGAAAGCAGTCTATGCCTGCTTCTGTCTCTCCTATTTCTTTAGGGAAGCTCGATCTAATGCATTTCCTACACTTGTGCTCCTCAGATGTGTGGCATTGCCCTGACAGCAGAATGTATCTACTTTGTGTCTGATCCACATGGTCTCTACCCTCTGCTGGAAGCCACAGAAAATGATGGCATCTATGCTGCTGCCTGGATTGGCATCTTTGTTGGCTTTGCACTGTTTGCTCTATCTATCCTTGGTATCATTGGAATCATTAAGTCTGACAGGACCTTGCTGCTGGTGGTAAGTATAAGAAAGTTTGCCTACCTATTGCTATCAAACTGAACAAATGCTGCCTTAGTTTCCCTGATCACCTCAGTAATCAACCAATGAGCAAAGACAGCTTTTATAGTGATGAGGAGCCAAAGGTTCTTCTTGGTCATGGCTGCGGTGTCCCAGAAAATGACTCCTGTGAAGATGCATGCATGAGAAGATCCCAGACCAGGCTCAGGGAATGGATGGAGGTGGCCACAGTGGAGGTTTAAACTGACTGGCTTGACCCCGACCTTGCCCTTAAGCAATGCAGAAGCACTTGTGCAATCACATATATCTGGGATGTGGTTTAGATCCTTGTTTCTCCCCACCCCTTACTGCTTTTCAGCTGTCATGCACCATTCAGTTTAGGAGCTGATAAGTAATTATTTCTGTACAAGGCATTAGTAAGTGTCAGTATACCAAATATGGATGCAGTTGAGAACATGAGACATCAGCAGGCAGGCACAAATTACAGGGGTGGGGACAGAGATTTGGATAAGCCGAGGACAATGTTAAGATGTGAACAAATCTTTGTACAATGTCTTACCTAGTCCTTTGGTCTGGCAAAACATTAGTGGCAAAACTTAGCTGATGCTTGTACGAACAAAAGGTGGAGCTGAAAACTCTGGAATTGGCTCTCTCTTGGATTATTGTGGGGTGGCAGGGTGTCTGTTTTAGACAAGAGGCACTCAGAGATCTGAACTCTTGTGTCAGGGAATTTGCCAGCAAACAGCTGAGGAAATAGAATTCCCTTAACTCTGAATTTTGGTGTCTTGGCTAAATCCCAAGGCTCTGATTTGAGAGATATGAGAGGGTACAAGGGACAGAAGCTTGGATAAGAAGGAAACTTGAATCAGAGATGAAAATTATAAAATGTGAGAGGAGAAATAGACATGAGAACTCGAAAGGGAATATGGAAAATGCTAAAGGGATTGTGTAGAAAAGGGAAAAGAAGGAGTGAAATAGACCATGAGAGGTGACCCTTGGAATCTGTTTTCATGAAGGGTCTTTGCTCACAGTGTAGGAGTGTTAAGGAAATCTGATGATGAAAAATCAAGAGGATCTGAATGATACCCTGAATTGCGCCTTCTGTTTCCCCAAAGTACAAGTTCTCCTGCTAGGAGTGAACAGCTTCTTGCTGAAAAGCCTATAGCTGTCAAGTGGAAGGAGAAGACATGACACAAACATAGGTTGCCAATGAGTTGCAACAAAGAAAAGGGCAAATGTTATTCTAGGACATATTAGGCAAAATGTTTTCCATAAAGGCAGTGTAGTCTTAATGCCATGAGGTCCTGATGAAATCTTATCTGTGAGATAGGGAACAATTCTGGTCATTTACCTTCAAGAAAGCAGATTGCAAATTGAAACAAGAACAGGGAAAGGCTATATGAACATTCAGGGGCACAGAGAGGACTGAAGAAACTATGATAGCCTGGCCACCTTTACCTTGAGTAGGGTTTCAGGCTTAATCTTGAAAAAAATGCATAACTGTTTCTCTAAGAACTAACTCTGCTCTCTGTCTCCCACAGTACATCATTCTGATGCTGATTACTTTTGCATTTGAAATGGCTTCTTGTATCACGGCAGCGACTCACCGAGACTTTGTGAGTATTTCTTTCCTGATGTATTCTTTTAACTGCACTGGGAAATGCAGTTCTAGGGCACACAGTTGTCCTGTTCCGTGTAGTAAATGGCCTATGTGATAGTAGAGTGTAAACTCATAGGACTACTGCTAAGCAGAAGACAGCCCTTCAGGGAAAGACTCCAACATCATCATTCTAATCAAGGAAATAACTTTGTTTTTTCTAACATAGTTTTGTTATTTTTAACATTTTAAAATGTTTACAACCTTGCAGTTAAGGAAATAATAGCGTGGGTTAGCTGAATCATCAATACAGTGTTTAGTCTTTCAGCTACAGACTGATTAATCTATTATACACGTCAAAGACAAATCTTCAGTATTGCCCCAGGCAATGTTACTAGTGAGGGAAAGATTACAAGGGTTATTAAAGATATTGGTGGGGAGTAAAATGATTTGTGGTACTTTAGTCCCAAGCAACATATCAAATGCAACCCATAGCTTCTGCACATCTCCTGTGGTCTGACATCTGGTAGTGCCTGCTTAAGATCTATATCTTTCTTGCTCCTGGTCCTCAAATCCTGCTCTTTATTCTCTTTTGTGTAAAACCAGGGTAGAGGCAGCATTCCTGTTCTCCATCAAGACACTGAAACAAGCAAACAAACCCTCCCCAAATAACCCTATATTTGCTTTACATGGCCACTTATTTACATTGTTTTTGCATCAACCAACTGTTGGTTTTTTTCTGTAGCTCACTCCAAACCTCTTCCTGAAGCAAATGCTGGAGAGGTATCAGAAGGCAGAGCCAGCTAATAACAATGACAAATGGATGACTGAAGGGGTCACAAAGACATGGGATAAACTCATGCTTCAGGTAATAATAACAATAATAAAAGTCACTAATTACTAAATGCTCTGCAGGTCTGGAATTTCAAGTCCTTCTTGGGGCCGCTCAGTAATAAAGAGGATGGCATCTGCCTTGAACCTTAAAGAAAGTTCTGACATACTCCCCCTTTTGCTTGTTTATCAGATAGACTTTCAAAAGGAAGGCACTTCAAAAATCTCTCCCATAAATCTGTAGTTAATGCCTAACCAGGCATGTGCAGTGCCCAGACATGTGTGGGGCTGTGGCCTGGGCCCATAAAGACTATTCTCTTCTCTCACCCTGCAGAACCATTGCTGTGGGGTGCTGGGCCCCTCCGACTGGCAGGAGTACACGTCTGCCTTCCGCTCCACACACAACGATGCTGACTTCCCCTGGCCACGAAAATGCTGTGCCATGGATGCCCAAGGGCTTCCCGTCAACCTTGATGGCTGCAAACTTGGAGTCCCTGGCTATTATAACAGCAATGTAAGACCATCCCTGCTTTTTCCAGTTAATGTATGTCAGTCAACAGTGCCTTTCTGGAAGGGAATGAAACTGTGAATAGCCTTTCTTCTCTACTGTAATCTCTGGGTTTCTCCTATCTTCTGGAGCAGAAGAGCCTGGAGTGGAGTCCTGGCCACGTTGCTGAACAGAGGATAGGGGGTTTTTTTTAGGATAAAGACTTTCCTGATGGATAGAGAACTATTAAGAAAACTCTCCCAATGCCACCAGGAAGAAGTGACATCTGTAACATGTAGATGGACAGCAGCTGAATCAAACTTAGCCCAAAGACGAGTGCATATAATATGAGCAAATCAGCAGTTCTACCTCAAGGTAGAACTTTTCAGTAGACTAGCAACTAATCTATTCAAATAGGTTGCTGGGTCATGAGCATCAGCTTCTGCATTAGCATGCATTTCTAGAAGTCATTCAAGCTTCCAATTTTGCCTGTAGCTTCTTGATTCTAGAGGTCAATTCTGTGTCAACTGTGTTTGGTTATCTAAGTGTATTTGGCAAGTGGATGGCACAGGAAGCTGTCCTTGAAGTGTCTGAGATAGATTTTTGCATTTGGAGCTAGAAACAGGTAGGTTATCTAGAAGTTGTCAATAAGCAGTGTAGCTCTGGCTTGGTTTTTTCAGACCCTACAAGGTGCCCAAATTGCAGTAGGAGAGGAAGATGTCACCTCAGTCTCTCTCAGAAGTGGATGAGCTTCTTGCCTTGCAGTAAAAGCTCAAAGCTGGTATTGAGTCATCCCTGGTTGTCTTACAGGGTTGTTATGACGCTATTTCTGGGCCAGTGAACACACATGCCTGGGGTGTTGCCTGGTTTGGTTTTGCCATCCTCTGCTGGACTGTAAGTACTTTATATTTGCCTTTATTTCCTCTTCTCTTTTCTCGGTATTCCACACCCAGCTGGGTGGAGGTGGATGACGGGACTGACACATTTAAAATGTCCATAGATTATCGTATTCATTCCTCACCTATCTGCCTATAGCCTGTTCCACTAACTGCTACATTTACAAGTTCTCCTCCATTCTGGCTTCCAGAGGTGAGGAACTAGATGGCTTTCTAGTCTGATGAGTCCTGCCGCCATCTCAACAACACAACTCAGCAAAATACAGCTTGCAGATACTTGTTTGTGAAGGGTATTGGACCATCTAAACAGCAATCATGATAGATAATTCAGTTTGTAGTTTGAAGACTTTGTATGAATGTTTTAAGTACTCTTAAAAGTAAACTCTCAGGGTTCAGCAGCTTCATGAGAGATAATCCCTAGTAAGATGAGTGATACAGTCAGATAGTTATGGCTGCGCACATCTTCTTTCTTTACTGTGTAGTTTCTGTGCAGATAAAAAAATTTAAGCTTCCTCTGCCTGAACAAGCTTTGCTTTTCAAGAATTTCTGTTGTCCCTCCTAGCAACGGGACTAAATGAAGATGGGGGAAAGGTGGAGAAAAGGAAACGGGAAGCAGAGAAACTTTAGCAGTCTTGTCTTTTCAGTTCTGCGTCCTCCTTGGTACCATGTTCTACTGGAGTGGAATTGAATACTGAAGGCCCGGTGTACTCAGTGCTGTCCTGAAATGCCGTGTGAAACTGCGTTTGTCTTCTGCTCCATTCTCCTTGTGCCATGGAGGATTTGAAGTTTTCCCACTACCTCTCCCATATATACTTTTGCCCCTCCAAAACCTGACACACAGAACTGACTGCAGGAAAGAATCTTCTTGTCCCTCCTTGCCCCTTGTTCTGCAGCCTTTATGTCTCCTGGCTGAGGCACAATCCTTCTTCCACGGTGCAAGAAATCCTTGGAGCATAAGATAAGAAGTTATCTGATTTGTTCTCTGATGATACCAGTAAAGAAAATCTCCATATACACTTGCTGCGAAACATGGCTCTCTAAAGTAAGGTTGAATTTAAATGGTAACGCTAAAGGCTCCAGCAAGGGCTATGTGAGCAAAGCTGTAACCTCTTGTGACCAAAACTGTAACCTCCCATGACCAATAAAGATGGGTGCTGCAAAGGAGAAGACTGCAGACCTCTCTAATATATTTTATTGTTCAACTTCTCTTCCTGGTCTCTGTCACCCCTTGCCTTGGAATAAGGCAGATTTCCTGAGAGTTTTAGTGTGTCAGCAGTAGAGACATGTCACAGAGAAAAAGTGTTGCTAGTCAAGCCCAATAAAAGGCTAGCTCACTCCTCAGCAATATGCTGCCTATAAGCAAGCCTACCTTCTGTCGCTGATGAAACTACTGCATGTACTCCTACCTTCAGAAGTGCCAGTCCAGGAAAATCTTCACTTGCTGACAAGCAACTCCTTCAAAAAGCTGTTCTGTACTTCACACAAGATTTCACACATCTACAGCCTAGAATTCGTGCAGAATACAAAGGGTCTTGTGCTGTTGTTGGCTTTGCAAAAGTGGCTGTTCCATGCCCCTAGTTTACTGTGCTTCTTGCTTCGGCTACCTGTATGTATATGGTTACATCTCCTATGTAATTCCCCTTCCACATCCCTGGATCAGGTAGGACATAAGGCAAACAATGGCAATGAGTATCTCTTGTGAAAAATGCAAGCAAGGTGCTAACTGAACCAAATCCAGTCCTTGCATCAGCACTTACAGTTCTCAGTCAGTTCAATAGAGGTTGCGTATTTTGGCCCGGACTTATCTGCTGTCTTTCCTAGTGAACACTTCAGCAGTTAAATGTATCATGAGAAATATGCTCCTGTAGAGGATTTTAAGATTAATCCTTCGGAAGTTCTACTGGTTCAGGTCCTGACACTTGCCGTCTGCCTTGATTCTTTGTTTTTGTATATTCACCAAAATACTAATTAAAAAGAAGTGGAGGTGAATTTTTTCTCTTGTTCAAGATGGTGTGTTTGGGAAGGGGAAATAATAAAGGCTGGGACGTCTGGGGCAGGACAAAGGCAGGCTTTAATGTCCTGTAATGCCATTGTGATGCATGGTGCTACAGAAACACTGAATAATCCTTTGCTAGAGTGCTGGGGAAGAGAAAGAGGCAGATATGAGGATGAATAGCTGAAGGAAGAAATGCAGAACTGCAACATAGAAATTTTCTGTGTGAGTGTGCCTTCAGAACTGAAAGTCCTCATGGTTCAGACACTCCCCTGGTTCAGTGGGGTGGTGACTGTCTTAGAGACCCTGGACTCTCAGAAATTCCATAAGGAAATTAGTCTTCACTTTTTTTGTGAGACGTGAGTCATGAATAGACCATGGAAGCCATGTATGTCAGTGGTTAGAGTTTGGTTTTGAAGGGGAGGAGGGCGGAGTTTGGTAGTAGAATTGGGGGTTTTTTGTGTCTATGCTGCTGAGAGCTACAGTAACACCTAAATGTAAAGAAATCTTAAGAGAATCAGCATCTGCCCAAATTAAGGAGCAATAGCAAAGACTGAGTTCTCTGCTACTTGACATGAACTGCAAATGTCTGTCAACTGCAGCCAGAAGAGAGGAGAGAAATGGGGGAGGAAGGACAATGCAGGCACACAGCCTCTGTCCTTGCTTGGCCAAACCCCTCCAATAACTCCTCAGCCATGGCAGCCATCGTGGATAGAAGCACTCCTGTGTAAGGGCCTCTTGCTTGAGTTATGTCTGAAACTCAAGTAGCTCTGCAAATGAGTGAAACAACTGGCTATGGGACTTTCTAGACTAGTAGTGCCTTCTGCACATGGATGTCTCTGTACATACGCCGGGAAAAAACTTTTAGGACTGCAGAAGCAGGTAACTTCAAATATTATTTTCCTTCTCTAGTCTTTGGCTTCAGACCGAGAGGTCTCTTCCTTTCTGGTGCATCTAAATGTGGTGTGATTATAGCACTACACTCAGTATAGGGGAAAATGCTGCAAGATTTTGCAGGAGAAAAGAGACTGAAACTACTTTAAATAGACTATTTCAATATTAACTGCTCCAACCAGTTGCAAATGATACCATTGACCTATTACATAAATGGCAGCTCAAGTCAATTAAGTTTAGGTTCTTCACATTTGTTTTCTGCTTCCTAAGCCTTTCCCTCCCATTGCACTTCATGATTCATGTTCTCAAAAAATAAAAGCAGTAAATAAGTGATCCAGGCAATGGTGGATCTATGCAGACATGCCAAACATGCCTCAATGCAACCAGAAAATTCCAGCTTTATCCATCCTGAACTAAGGAGGAAGGAGAAGACTGGACTGATGGCAGAATGATGTTGAGCAGGGTAATGAAAAATCCTGCACAGCTTTTTCTGGTTTTTCAGCTTCTGAAGGTTGATTCCAATCTCTGCAAGTTCATTGGGATGCCAGAGGGAGGGTGAGGAAGGGATGGAGTCCATGACAGGAATGGTGGCAAACAGGTTTATGTGTTGGCTGAGACTTGTAAAGAAATCTTGGTCATTCTCGGCTGTTTGGATTGTGTCCTGAAGGTATGGATGTATGTGGCCTTCAGAGCAGGCAATATGCATATGTGCATGAAAACTACTGAACAAAGACATCCTGATAAGATAGGATGAAGAAAAAATCTCCAGGTAGAACTGTATGGTTTGTTTGCAGATTTGCTCTGTTTATTTCTTCTCTGTAGGAGTGATTATTCACAGTTCTCTCTTGGCAATAAAAATGCATTTCAATTCTCCCATAGAGTGACCAAACATATTTTTGGATTATTAATTTATTGTAATATTCCCAGCTCTGAGAAATCAGTCTTGCTGAGAAGCATCCTCTGTTCAGACATGATGAAGTAATGTGGCCTCCAAGCCAACAAGAATCCCACATCCTCATCTGCTCCTCTCCCATGTAGTCAGAAATGTAATCTGATGTTTTTCACACTGCCAAACGTTTGTGGCTGACAGTACTGAAGGCCTCTGTTCCTTCAGGCAATGAAGCAATGAGAGAGCTGCCTTTGCATATTTTGTGCCTTGACTCCCTTTTTCCAGCAGGCTTTCCTACCCTTTCCACCTTTCCTTTCACTTCTTCTGCATGAGATCTCTTTGCACAGACTCTCTCAGGCCTTATTTTAATTTACCTTGCTGGTTCGTGGATGATGTACAATGACCATTATGTGCCATGCTTGCATCTGGCTGCGACCTCATTGTGAAAACCAGGAACCAGGCTGCTGGTAGTGCTCGGTATCCTCTGACTCAGATGATTTATTCCCCATCCTGCTCACTGACCTGGCATCTTAGTTTTTCACATTCCTTACAACAGGGACTTGTGCCAAGCAAATGTTTCCTGGGACCAGGACTGACCTAAAACTAGCTATAAATGAAGCCTCCTACTCCCAACACTTGGCAGCCCCGCCCTCCTTGACAACTGGGGAAAGCCCCTGCAACATGTGGTATGCTGGGAACCTCCTGTGAGAACTCTCCCTGAAATCTTGGCCATCTATCTTTAGGAGACTGCTGCAGAGGAGTTGAGGATGACTGTTGAGGGTTAATCCTCAACTGGAAAAAAAGGTAAGGGTGTTTCTGACTGTGTTAAATTGCACCAAGGTGAAATTCCAGTATAGGCAATGTCATCTGCACTTCTTGTACATTCACTAGTTGAGATAAACCCTGTAAGAGAGCTAAGTGATGAGCAGTGAGCTGCTCTGGCTACCCAGGGCTGTTGTTAACTGTGAGAGAATGCAGGACTTCTCTATTTTTCTTGAGGCAACGCTCACCTTTAGCACGGTACTGTGGCTGGCACAGAGTCTGGAGCCTGTAAAGCCAAGTTACTTCAAAAAACTCTCTGCAAATGAGCAGCCTAGTCCTTTTACACCTCTCTTCTGCCTCCACTATCTGATCCTTAGTCTTTAAGTAAATTATCTCATGATGCAAAAAAAAAACCAAAAAGCCCCTCCAACTAGTAAAGCAGCTTGAGAACACCTGTTTCTTCTGATTTAGTCTTCCTGATTCTTACAAAGGAGGAGGAAAAGAAAATTTTACCTGATATTTTTCATACTGGTTCAACTCTATCTTATGTCTGGGTGTTGGAGTTTTTTTCCTTTTTGGGTTTTACTTACCTAGAAACTTTCTCTGTTTAATAATTATAATGTGTTATTCTCCTTTCTCCAGAACTGGTTGTTCCCATGTTCGTGTGCTTTGTGGTTCTTTCTTAAGCAGCTACAAAGTTTTCTTTCAAATCATTTCCTCTCACTGAATTCAAATATTTCCTGGTCTTTTCAGATAAGGGATTTAAACTATACAAGTATGTAGTCCCTGCAGCAGATGTGCTATGGAAGAAAACAGGTCCCATTTTAAGATGGATGACATAATTCCTATGAGTTTTCTAGGTTTGCAGAATGTTTATCTCACACTGCAGTTTGCTAAGACATGAGAAAATACCTATTCTGTTTAATTATGGAGTGAAGCAAATATTCAAGTTTTAACACTCATACTGTATCTAACTTTTGAGGGCATCGCGACTTGGGCAGGTCTGAGCTTTGCAGGTCCCATTCATTTCTAGTCCTTAACACTGAAACACTAAATGCATGTGGCGAGGCATGTTCTTTCAAAAGTTTATCCTGCTCAGGTGGAAAATTAACTCAGAAATCTCACTGTCTTTCTCTGTCTTGATCTTTATGATTCTGTTCTTTTTGCTGTTGTTGATGCCTTGTGCCAGTCTCCTTCACTGGGCTAAATTTCCTTCTCTGCACTGCTTGCCTTTTCCTTTGCTGCCAGGTGACCTTTAGCCCCATCCAGTGGAATAGCAGCTAGATGTTCTGTTGCCCACAGCTTCTGGACTCTGGGGCGCAATGAGGATGTGTGAGACACCAGTATCAAATGCTCTTTCACACTGAGTGGTTAGATTGCTTCCTGATTAACAGCCAGTTTGGGAACTTGCCTAATCTTGGTTTTGGCTTGGATGTTGTAGCTGTGGCTTCCAATACAACCTACACAGACAATTGTCCTAAGTCAGGCAGGCAAAAGAAACTGGGTGAAATTGTGTTCAAAGACTTCCATGTGTTTAAGCACCCTGATTTAGGGGGCAGTGCTGATTGGAGCATGAGCAGCTCTACAGTGTACCTTTTATCTAACTTTCAAACCATGGGAATGCTGTGGGGCAGTTTAGGATTCTCCTCTTGCCCTATGGCCAAGTCATTGCTAGATTCTGTGGCACAAAGAATAGAAAAATACTGTTTCTTGTACAGAACTAGTAATTGGCTCTGGCTAACAATTTCAGAGTTCAACAAACATGATTTTCTTTCTCACTTTGTGTGCCAGTTGCCATGGTAAGCAGGAAGCACAACCCAAGCATTTCCCTAAAGGGAAACTGAAGTCATGAAGGAGGTAGGAAAGGGAGACAAGCTCTGAGTTCAGCTGCTGAGTAGGAAAAAAAAAAAAAGTACTTCATTTAACCTAATGATTCATCTGTTTTTTAGGGAGAACAGTGAGCAAGCTGCACTGCAAATACATCCACCGAGGCTACAGCCACAAGAACAGCCCCCCCCCTTCCTTATTTTGTTTTTTGTTTTGTTCCCAGGATAGAAGGGGCACATACTAATAATATTGACTTCCATGCTACAGCTCAGAGACTGGATTAATGAGAGTCAGGGAACTAAATTCATAATTTGCTTAAGTTCTTGCTTGTCCTTTACAAAGCAACGAAGTGCATATATGATGCACCAGAGGCTTCATAGTAACTTCTGTTCCAGCTTGGCTTCCGCTATACAAACACTGGGATCCCAAAGTTTTTCCATACTGCACTCTGCATTGCTCTGCATTATTACAGGCAAGGCAGAATTCTGCAGGAGATGTGCTAAATGGGATGACACGGTTGTACGTCACGGAAACTTCAGCATGGTAGAACTAGAAATTGTAAGAAAAGAAGATAATTTTACCCTTGAAAATTTTAAAGTATGTCAGGTAACAGTAATTCTACAGAAGTCTCCGAGCCCTTTCTTCATCTTCAGAGCTGCAAAGCAGCTGCAGTCCTCATAACCCCAATCAGAAAAGTGTGTGGTTGGGCCCTAACCTCTAATCCCCACCATCCAAACCCACACAAACACAATTCAGTGCCCTGGCCACTCACACAACAAAAGAGGGGCTCAAACTCCATGTCAGAGGAAGACAACAATGTTTACACTGCATTCATAAACCAAATCCGGGGGAAAAGAAAATGTTCCAAAACATCACTAGGGCACAGGTCTGTTTTTTATGAAAACTCTAGTTTAATCTAATGGCTGAGACCTGGCAAAACATCTTTCTTTTGTGGCTTTTGTTTTTNAAAAAAAAAAAAAAAAAAAAAAAAAAAAAAAAATTAGGCACGGGGGCAGGCAAGTCCACACAGAGGAAAAAAGCTTAACAAAAATGCAATTCATCAGAGCTAGCAGGAAAAATAATCACAAACCAGAGTTAGTGGGATTGGGACAGTCCCTTTCACAGTGTCTGACTTCCAGCCCTTCCTTTGACCTGGCAGCAAATAATATTTCAAAGGGGACCAGTGCCTACAAACACAAGATCTAAGGTCTGGACTGCTGCACAGAGCCCTCAGAAAGCTCTTACCTCTTGCCATCCTTCCTTTCTGGGGCTGTTACAGTCCTACTCCATCTCCAGTCAAACTCAGTAGCAAGCTTTCCATTCCTTGCTTGGAGCAGAACTAGTTATCACCAAGCCTTTTCATCAATTGAGAGCAAGCAAAGGCTAAAACAAATAGGGATCAGCTACAGCTTCTCCCCCCACCGTTAGAGGTTTTTATTCATTTTTTCTAGAGGTGGAGACAAGCAAAAGGGCCAGCTGCAAAACCTGGGCATGCTTGAAAGATAATATATGCTTCAGTAGACTGTTTGCATTTTCAAGGACTTGGGAGAAGATTATGGTGGAAAGTTAAATCAGTCCTTGCACTCTGGTCTCCCCTGATCTTATTCCTCCTCTCCCTGGACAAGATCCTGCTCAGGAAGGCGTATTCAGGCCTTCTGCCCACCACAGATTAGCCAGAACTAATTAGCTACTTTGTGGGCAAAAAGCCCACATTTGATCTCACACTCTCAGTGCTGCAAAAGTTGCAGCAGAAAACAGTTCCATGCATCAGCCCAAGTTTCACAGATGTGTAAAATACTATTTAGGCAATTCCTTCATTTTAATTACATTTCATTTTTAATATATTTATATAGAATGATCTTATATATATATATATAAATTTAAAAAGTGTTCACCACGACAGGCATTTCAGAATCAATAAAGAAAGAAAAAAGATTTTTATTGCACCATTTGGACTCTGGATGAGGGAAAATGTTGCAGGCTTTATGGATGCTCTCTAATACAGATCTAAGTTCCTCTGAAGCTCTAAAGGTGAAAAAATAAGTACTTCGGTCTTTCTGCAGTCATACCATGAGAAGGACATCCCAGAGGACTGGGATTTATAAGGTAAAACACAGTCTTCCTTTCTGTTTACTCTCCTGCAAATAAGGCAGCTCCCACACGAGCTAACATTAACCGTGTCCCTCCTTTCTGTCAGGGGATTCTCATCTTTGCCAGCTCAGCCATTTCACTCTGAGCTACATTTAACAGAAGCTGCACAAACCCCCGACTACATGGGAAGAATAAGTGCAATTTACTCACTTGTCTTCCATTGGTAAAAGTCCACAAGCAACATATGCTGGTGATGTGTCATGTCTGATACTGGGGCCATCTGCAAACTTGGGAATAACCTTTACACTGTTCACAGTCTCAGGAGAATTGAAATGTACTGCTGGGTCCCTAAAATGATCTTTGTGAAGCTGCAGAGGATGAGCCAGTCTATTTAGTCTTTTCAATACCAAGAACAACCAGTGTAGCTCTCTAGTACAAAAAATTCAAATTCTGGGCCAGACTCTTCTCCCATAAATCTAATCTATCCCTCTTCATAATGCTTCACAGATAAACAATTAAAAAACAAACAGAACTCCAAACAAACAAACAAATAAACACAAATCCCAAAACGAGGAGAAAAACCCATAAATCCTTTCTTAGAGAGATCAGGACTGACCCTAAAACTGATATCAGGGATAGCTTAATGAAGTTGGATCTCAGGAAGCTCCTGCCACACAGTCAGCACCATTCAGTGGGAGATGGCATCTGTCTTCTGGTTCTGGCCAACTATCAAACTCTGGTCCTTCAAGCTGACTGCAACTACCAGTATCAACATGGATCCATCATCAAGCATTACAGACTCCGCAGAAGGCTGAGTCTGAAGGTGAGAATCATGACACCTGTCCAACGGTGCACCTTGCAACTAAGCATGTACTTTCAGCTCTGCAGGACCTGAGGCTTTATCTAAGCGCTCTTGGAACATCAGCTGAAGGCTGGAGATGAAATTGTAGATAAGACATATCATTACAGCATCTCTGCTTAATTAAAATCCAGGACCCGGATCTGAGTTCAAATTCTGAAACATCCTTAAAAAGTATGGTCTGGATACAGATTTTAGTTGAGGTTGATCTTTAATATTAAGTAAAGATTTCTAATAATTTTTCCTTGCAGGAGTTTCAACACTTATGCCAAAAGCACTATTACTTACCGGAATGCTGTTAAGAGCTGAGACAGTGTATTATATACAAATTGCCAGACCTCATTTCTTGTTCATACATCAACTTATATGAGAATAAGGAGGGGGAAAAAAAAGTGGTTTCAGCATGCCAAGGTTTCATCACATTTTCTTTTTTCTTCTGGTACATTATTTTGTGAGCTTCTTTAGCTCTCTTCCAGGTGCCTTGGCTGTCAAAACTTCTAGGAACTCAGAGAATAAATCCTTGTCCAAAGTAAACTATTTTGTTGATGCAAAAAAAACCCTGGGCATCATTTCCACAACTTTGCCTTCTTCTAAACTCTTACAGTACCTCATATCTCACTTTCCTGAATCATTTGCCATTAACCCAGCCATGGTGATTAAAAGCTTTCTCATGAGGCAATAAAAAAGGCATTTGGGTGCCATGTTAATGCAGCCTAGAGCTGTGCTAACTATGAGGAGCATGGAGGACTGGCAACTCCCTGGTTTTTATAAGAGGCTGCACAGGCATCTTATGGTCTGGGAGTAGAATTATACGATTGTCATGAAGCTGCATATTCTGGGCCTGTGTCCACAGCTTGCCCAGCTAAAGCATAGGCTGACATCTGTGAGAGAAAATGGACCCAAACAAAAACTCCAGGCTCTCGTCTGGTTTACTATTCTCCTTTAACAAAACCGACAGCATGGATTTAGTTCTCTGCTCTGTTGCCTCTTATATGGCATTATGCACACATGAGGAGTACAGTGGGGAGGATCAAAGACTGCAACTGGTGACAGGGAAAAGCCCTCTTGTTTTTTCACACTCCCTTTGCATATGGCAGGAGAAAATTCTGCTGAAAATATATTGCTTGCATTTGTGGACCCAAAACTTCTAAAAACTACTCTGGTACCTCTTCCCATTAGCAATCAAAGAGTGGAGAGAAAGCATCATACAGGCTCAGGGCCCTCCAACCACAATAACACTAATAAAGTGACAGTCAGACTAGGAGCTCATGGGTTGAGTTTACTAACCATTTGGAACTGCTAGTACTTCAGAAAAAAAGCCCTAAACATACGTCCTTTGGGAAATTCTGGCTGACCCTCATTTTGGTGGCTATAGCACTTCAGAACAGATGCTCTGAACAGATGCTTAAACTATAGCCCATGATACCCAACAGAGGGCCTACAGACTCAGACATCTCCAGGAGTGATGGCCCCTGTAAGTGCCATTACAGGGACAATCTCAGTGCTGGCAGCAACACCTGTGTACCTGTCTCCTCCGTAGTCACTAGTGACACTTAAATTGCAGAGACAGCCTAGGCTGTGCCTGACCTTGCAATCACCCACGGTCACCAAGCAGTCAATAGACGAGCCTGTGGAGAATGTAGAGTTAGAGGCTTTATAAAGGAAGCTTTAATTCTATTCCCACAGCAGCTGTTCCATATCTGAACCTGTATTTTCCTGTAACATTAATGTTCCCTTCAGGAGAGACTTTAATTCACTTCAAATCTCCCTCTCAGGACTTGTTCATGATCTGTTCTGCAGTCCCACAAATCATCCTCTTTACCACACTTTTAATCAGTCTGAAAGCGCTGAGGTCCGGGGAGGTGACAACCAGCCATACTCTCAAAGGAATAGTGTAAAATCACAAGGAGTGGAAGTTTCAAGGAATAAGAAGCACCTGGGGACATGCCACACAGTGGCAATGAAAGACCAACGGTCAAAGATATGTCAGTCAGGGTACAAGAGGGCAATAGCCCAAGAACATGCAGATCAGGAGATCCTCTTTCTTTTCTCTCCTGTTGGCAGTGTGGAGCTCAACCAGAGATAGCTGCAGAGGTGTCACCTGGCTTTAAGCAATGATGAAAATAGTTGATACTGGACTTTGTTATGACCACATCTTGGCTGTCATTGATACCAGCCTGAGAAGTCTCTACACTGGGCAGCCAGCTGCACACTCATTCCTCAGCCACATGGATCTTGTCTACCCGAGGAAGGTGTGGCTGAGCACACAAAACTCATGAGCAAGACTTGGAAGATTAAAAGAACAACTAGGCGTTTCCTGTACAGCTGCTTTCATTCCAGCGCTTGCACATGCTGGAAAGAGCACATCTTTGATGCAAGGATAGAGCTGGGGGCAGTGTTCAGGTTGTATGTTTGTCATTGGAACATCCTTGAGTGTCTCACACCCTGTGTGACTGTGACCTGCTCATGCCAGCTTCACTTTCCCCTTCAGCTATCCCCAGCCTCTTGCACTGTTTATTTACACTGTCTAAATCAAACAGTCCTTCACTAGTGTCTGGGAAACAATGGGAAGAGTTCCTAAACATCTGGATCTACCTCCTCAGCACCCTGGGCTGCAGTGTTTTGTAACAGGGTTTCTTTCAAGCCCTGTTTTCTAATTATACAGAGATTTATTTTTCCTTTTCTTCCATAGGGAGGATGAGACTTTCACAGGGCTTGTTAGACAATAAGCACGAGAAAATGCAAGTTCCCTGGGACTGGCTTACAAAAAAAAAAAAAAAGCAGGCAGTGAGGGACTAAGCAGAGGTGAGATAGGGAAGGAAAAGCAAGACAAAGAGACTATGACCTTCCATAGCAAAAAGCTTTGCAGGAAACCATTGAGGATTCAAGTCCATCTTGCACAAAATAACAACAGCAAAATGGCAACAGAATTGGTCTTGGACACTCCCATCCCAACCACCACAGAAAAGGAATAGGAGAAGCAGCTGCTATTCAATCTGCCTCCCACTTCGTCCATCCAGAATCACGGAGCGCCTCTGGGGCTGGTAAAAGCAGCTGGTAGATGTCTCCAGTCTCTGGCCATTCTTGGGGATGGTCATTTTGTTCCGCAGTGTCACCCCCTCAGGTGTCGTCCGCGAAGTCTCAGACAGATCACCACAAATGGGGCTCAAAGAGGTGGTCTGAGTGGGGCTCCTTATGGGTGATAACAATACCCTGGAGTCTGCTGAAGTGGTGGGGTGGTCCATAATGGGGAAAGGGGGACTGAAGAGAATCAGACTTTGGGGCCTCCCGGGCCTAGATCTATAGGAAGGCTTGGAGAACCCTGATGGCCTCTCTATCTTTGAAGACTGTGGGTTATCTCCAGCTGTCTCCCCTCCAGAGGTGCGCTTTCGGCGCAGAACGGGGGCATCCAGAGACGGGTTATGACTGGACTGAGATGGCTCCAGTGGAGGGCCAAGGCTGCCATGCCAGGGACAGGCTGAGTCCTTCTGAGCTGGGTCACTGTTTTCTTTCTCTGCTTTGGCTTTCTTCTCTGTCAGAGGGCTCTTGGGGGCCTCCAAGTGACTCCAAGCCACCCGTGGCGTTTGCCTGATGGTCTGCTTGGCTTCTGCCTCCTTCTTCTCAGCAGGTGGAACAGCATTCTGAGCCTGCAGGGGCTGGGGGATCTGGGTGTACTGAATCTTGGGCGGTATCACAGGCACAGCTCTAGCCTGGCACATCTTAATCATGAAGGAGGTCCTGACTGCCGACACACTGACGGGGGCAGAGTTACGACGGCCAGTGCTGGCATGGGCCACTGCCAGGTAATCCAAGTCTAGATCCACAGGGGAATTGAAACTAGACCCCCAAGGAACACCTTTACTGGCAGCAGGGCAGTGTGTTGGCAGGGATGGGACAGAATCACTGCTTTTTACTTCCTTCTGCCCATATAGGAGATTCCCAGGGAGAGATGGCACGGACAGGTTCTCGAATGTGAAGAAATCTGGGGCTGGGAGGAGCGAATCCAAGTTGAGGGAGGAAGGCCTAGTCTTTACTTTGCGAGGTGTTTCTTCACCTTTATTACTCAGCTGTGACTCAAGGGCAGAGCACAATGCTTTGGTGACAGTCTCTCCTCCCAGGGCAGTGTCCTGAGAGATGGATAACTCCTCCTTTGTGTTCTTTGTCTGTGAAGAACTGTCTGGGCTCTTTTGGTAGGGCAAAAACAGCTCAGGCTTTGAGGTCCAAGGGTTTTCTTTGCTCACATCCACTTTCTTTTCCTCTGGCTCTGAAAGAGGTATTCTGTAGGGTCCTGCTTTCTCAGCTGGTACTTCCTCCCTGCTGAGGGCATACTTCAGCTTCTCAGGTTTTGGAGATTCTTCTGGAGGACTTGGGCCATTCTCATCTTGTGTTGCTTTGCCCAAACTAGAAGGAGAGATGGGTTTTGTTTTGGACAGCTCACAAGTCACTGACAGAATGTCACTGTGTGGTTGCTGCTGGTCAGTGGCATCTATGAAAGAGAATGGGATAGTCCATAAACTCATCACTGTGTCTTTACTGTCCAGGGAGAGGCTGCGACTGAATCGTGGTCTAAGGCCTGTCTCTGCTCTCTGGCTCTGTGGATGAAACTCCTGTATCATCTTCTCCTGAATGTCCTTAGAGGTGGGGGAATGGAGAGGGCTTGTAACCCACTGGTGATCCTCCCATGGCTCCACAAGTTCTAAGCTCTGCACATTATCTGTCCAGGCGTCCTCATCATCCTGGTCACCAGCATCCTGGGTTCTGCTAACAGCATGGCCCTCCTTCACCTCTGGGATTCCATCTCCACTCAGTGCCTTGGAGGAGAATGTGTCCCTTTCATCAGTAGTCATTATCTCTTGCTTCTCCCTCTGGGTCTGGACTCTGGTAAGACCATCCTTTTCCCTCTGCTGCTGGCAAGTGCTATCTTTTTCTCTCCCTGACTCTGGACGTGCTCCTTTGGAACAAGAAAATCCATCATTTGGGGCAATCTTATTAAATTCCGATTGACTATGAATCTTCTGGTCCAGGCTAGGAGCAAGACATTCACTCCTGCTGTCCACCATTGGGTGGTGGTTCTTTGGAGTGACTGTACCAGTTGGAAGAGTGCTCAGTTCAGGTAGGGATGAGCCACAGCTCTGCTGTGCAACTGCATCAGACTGGCAGTCGTGAGGGCTGTCTTGTCGCTCCATGCTGCTGGCACCAAATAAGGGCACCTGAGTTACTTGTGATGCTCTGCTTGAAGGTGTCTGCTCAGCTAGTGTTGGACTCTGCCCTGGACCAGAGGAAAGATGGTCTGTTTGTACTGAAGAAGAAGATTCAGAAGTTCGGCTTGTCTTGGGGGCAGCTGCTGGCAAGAGCAAGAGCTCCTCTTCAGGTTCAATAATTTTCAGTTCCTGCTGTATCTCTGGCCACAGAGGTTCTAGAAGGGCATTTGCCGCGTCCTCCTCAGTCTGAAAAACAAAAGAAATGCCATGACCTGGGAGCTCACAACTCTACCAGTAAATACCCCTCAATTTTCCCCAAACAGCTCTCTCAGAACAGAGAGGGTCCCAGATGAGCACGTTCATAGGTACAGAAATACAGACACACATATGGCTACCAGTTCAAGGAAGGAAATACATCTATAAACAAGTGGGGTTATGGAGGAGAAGATCCGAGGTGCAGCCAAAAGGAGGTCTGGACAGATGTACTGAAACAGTGAGCTGAATGAGTAGCTGGAATATTTCAGCCCATTTCTCAGCTCTTCCCATTCAGGCTCGCTTGGCCTTGCCAGAGAATACACATTCCCAAAATGCACACAAACGCGAATGAATAATCTATTCAAGGAGCTATGCCAACAGATCTTTAAATAGCTGTCCAGAGATGAGTATCACTGTAAGAAACTTGGTGAAAAGGCTCTGCTAGAGATACAGAGGAGGCAAAAATAGTAAGAATTTAAAAAAATTTGTGTGAGGCGAATGGAAGAATAAAGGACTGTTCAGGCTGTCCAGGACAAATGGGACAGCAAAAATAGAAGGGAAATTCAGAGACCGTGGGTCAAAATGCTCAGACATCCGGACAGTCTCACATCTGGAGAGTCTCAGAGCAGACAGATTGTAAGGGCTGAAATTGTATAGTTACAGGAAAAGAAGACCAAAAAGGGACAGTAGGTAGTTATGTAAAGGTAAATCACCACATGGTGCTGTGGATAGAAGTGAAATCAATTCATGGTCTATTCTTGACTCTGCTTTGCCTAGGCTGTGGACTGAGTTTTCACAACTACAGACACACAATGAAACTTTAAACAACTTCTCAGTCACTACCATGACATGGTCCCCCACCTTCATTCTCATGTCTTCTTCCTTACCACATCTCTTAGGCATGATCCTTCTTCTGTCTTAGCTGTCTCTATCTCCTGTTGATGACAGCTTCCTTCTGAAGAGACATCCTTCATATTGAGCTGTCCTTGCTCTGCTCTGTCTTCCGGGAGTGGCCCCTTATGAAACTCCGACACTGGTGTTTCTTCCAAGGTGGCTCTCTGTTCTAAGGACTGCTGGGGGCTCTTGGTGCTGCTTGTGCAGCTGCTTTGCCCACATGTCTTCTGATTTTCTGCAGCTGGCTGTGGAGTTTCTAAGGACTCAGGTTTCCTGGCTGCCACCAGTTCCTCAGGGTGAGAGCCTGGATCAGAAATGCAAGTGAAAGATGTAACTGTTTGTGACTGAAAACTTGTGTCCCGAGAAAAAGTGGTGCTGCTAAAAGCCAATACCAACTAAAAAAGATGAAGAGCTCCCTCCAGGCACAACAGGATGTTTCTGGGAGGCCATGGGCACTTCCCCGGTCTCTTTGCTGCAACAAACACCAACCTGACCTGCTTTCAGAGTCAACACCCACCCTGCTACAGCTTGGTCTCTTTTCCACCACAAGACCAGGCTGGAGAAACCTCCATGCCACCAAGCTGTGGGGCACCTCCAGTAGCACAACTGAGGATCCACCCCCCCCCCCNAACGGTGCACCTTGCAACTAAGCATGTACTTTCAGCTCTGCAGGACCTGAGGCTTTATCTAAGCGCTCTTGGAACATCAGCTGAAGGCTGGAGATCAAGCTACAAAATAGACATATCATTACAGCATCTCTGCTTAATTAAAATCCAGGACCCGGATCTGAGTTCAAATTCTGAAACATCCTTAAAAAGTATGGTCTGGATACAGATTTTAGTTGAGGTTGATCTTTAATATTAAGTAAAGATTTCTAATAATTTTTCCTTGCAGGAGTTTCAACACTTATGCCAAAAGCACTATTACTTACCGGAATGCTGTTAAGAGCTGAGACAGTGTATTATATACAAATTGCCAGACCTCATTTCTTGTTCATACATCAACTTATATGAGAATAAGGAGGGGGAAAAAAAAGTGGTTTCAGCATGCCAAGGTTTCATCACATTTTCTTTTTTCTTCTGGTACATTATTTTGTGAGCTTCTTTAGCTCTCTTCCAGGTGCCTTGGCTGTCAAAACTTCTAGGAACTCAGAGAATAAATCCTTGTCCAAAGTAAACTATTTTGTTGATGCAAAAAAAACCCTGGGCATCATTTCCACAACTTTGCCTTCTTCTAAACTCTTACAGTACCTCATATCTCACTTTCCTGAATCATTTGCCATTAACCCAGCCATGGTGATTAAAAGCTTTCTCATGAGGCAATAAAAAAGGCATTTGGGTGCCATGTTAATGCAGCCTAGAGCTGTGCTAACTATGAGGAGCATGGAGGACTGGCAACTCCCTGGTTTTTATAAGAGGCTGCACAGGCATCTTATGGTCTGGGAGTAGAATTATACGATTGTCATGAAGCTGCATATTCTGGGCCTGTGTCCACAGCTTGCCCAGCTAAAGCATAGGCTGACATCTGTGAGAGAAAATGGACCCAAACAAAAACTCCAGGCTCTCGTCTGGTTTACTATTCTCCTTTAACAAAACCGACAGCATGGATTTAGTTCTCTGCTCTGTTGCCTCTTATATGGCATTATGCACACATGAGGAGTACAGTGGGGAGGATCAAAGACTGCAACTGGTGACAGGGAAAAGCCCTCTTGTTTTTTCACACTCCCTTTGCATATGGCAGGAGAAAATTCTGCTGAAAATATATTGCTTGCATTTGTGGACCCAAAACTTCTAAAAACTACTCTGGTACCTCTTCCCATTAGCAATCAAAGAGTGGAGAGAAAGCATCATACAGGCTCAGGGCCCTCCAACCACAATAACACTAATAAAGTGACAGTCAGACTAGGAGCTCATGGGTTGAGTTTACTAACCATTTGGAACTGCTAGTACTTCAGAAAAAAAGCCCTAAACATACGTCCTTTGGGAAATTCTGGCTGACCCTCATTTTGGTGGCTATAGCACTTCAGAACAGATGCTCTGAACAGATGCTTAAACTATAGCCCATGATACCCAACAGAGGGCCTACAGACTCAGACATCTCCAGGAGTGATGGCCCCTGTAAGTGCCATTACAGGGACAATCTCAGTGCTGGCAGCAACACCTGTGTACCTGTCTCCTCCGTAGTCACTAGTGACACTTAAATTGCAGAGACAGCCTAGGCTGTGCCTGACCTTGCAATCACCCACGGTCACCAAGCAGTCAATAGACGAGCCTGTGGAGAATGTAGAGTTAGAGGCTTTATAAAGGAAGCTTTAATTCTATTCCCACAGCAGCTGTTCCATATCTGAACCTGTATTTTCCTGTAACATTAATGTTCCCTTCAGGAGAGACTTTAATTCACTTCAAATCTCCCTCTCAGGACTTGTTCATGATCTGTTCTGCAGTCCCACAAATCATCCTCTTTACCACACTTTTAATCAGTCTGAAAGCGCTGAGGTCCGGGGAGGTGACAACCAGCCATACTCTCAAAGGAATAGTGTAAAATCACAAGGAGTGGAAGTTTCAAGGAATAAGAAGCACCTGGGGACATGCCACACAGTGGCAATGAAAGACCAACGGTCAAAGATATGTCAGTCAGGGTACAAGAGGGCAATAGCCCAAGAACATGCAGATCAGGAGATCCTCTTTCTTTTCTCTCCTGTTGGCAGTGTGGAGCTCAACCAGAGATAGCTGCAGAGGTGTCACCTGGCTTTAAGCAATGATGAAAATAGTTGATACTGGACTTTGTTATGACCACATCTTGGCTGTCATTGATACCAGCCTGAGAAGTCTCTACACTGGGCAGCCAGCTGCACACTCATTCCTCAGCCACATGGATCTTGTCTACCCGAGGAAGGTGTGGCTGAGCACACAAAACTCATGAGCAAGACTTGGAAGATTAAAAGAACAACTAGGCGTTTCCTGTACAGCTGCTTTCATTCCAGCGCTTGCACATGCTGGAAAGAGCACATCTTTGATGCAAGGATAGAGCTGGGGGCAGTGTTCAGGTTGTATGTTTGTCATTGGAACATCCTTGAGTGTCTCACACCCTGTGTGACTGTGACCTGCTCATGCCAGCTTCACTTTCCCCTTCAGCTATCCCCAGCCTCTTGCACTGTTTATTTACACTGTCTAAATCAAACAGTCCTTCACTAGTGTCTGGGAAACAATGGGAAGAGTTCCTAAACATCTGGATCTACCTCCTCAGCACCCTGGGCTGCAGTGTTTTGTAACAGGGTTTCTTTCAAGCCCTGTTTTCTAATTATACAGAGATTTATTTTTCCTTTTCTTCCATAGGGAGGATGAGACTTTCACAGGGCTTGTTAGACAATAAGCACGAGAAAATGCAAGTTCCCTGGGACTGGCTTACAAAAAAAAAAAAAAAGCAGGCAGTGAGGGACTAAGCAGAGGTGAGATAGGGAAGGAAAAGCAAGACAAAGAGACTATGACCTTCCATAGCAAAAAGCTTTGCAGGAAACCATTGAGGATTCAAGTCCATCTTGCACAAAATAACAACAGCAAAATGGCAACAGAATTGGTCTTGGACACTCCCATCCCAACCACCACAGAAAAGGAATAGGAGAAGCAGCTGCTATTCAATCTGCCTCCCACTTCGTCCATCCAGAATCACGGAGCGCCTCTGGGGCTGGTAAAAGCAGCTGGTAGATGTCTCCAGTCTCTGGCCATTCTTGGGGATGGTCATTTTGTTCCGCAGTGTCACCCCCTCAGGTGTCGTCCGCGAAGTCTCAGACAGATCACCACAAATGGGGCTCAAAGAGGTGGTCTGAGTGGGGCTCCTTATGGGTGATAACAATACCCTGGAGTCTGCTGAAGTGGTGGGGTGGTCCATAATGGGGAAAGGGGGACTGAAGAGAATCAGACTTTGGGGCCTCCCGGGCCTAGATCTATAGGAAGGCTTGGAGAACCCTGATGGCCTCTCTATCTTTGAAGACTGTGGGTTATCTCCAGCTGTCTCCCCTCCAGAGGTGCGCTTTCGGCGCAGAACGGGGGCATCCAGAGACGGGTTATGACTGGACTGAGATGGCTCCAGTGGAGGGCCAAGGCTGCCATGCCAGGGACAGGCTGAGTCCTTCTGAGCTGGGTCACTGTTTTCTTTCTCTGCTTTGGCTTTCTTCTCTGTCAGAGGGCTCTTGGGGGCCTCCAAGTGACTCCAAGCCACCCGTGGCGTTTGCCTGATGGTCTGCTTGGCTTCTGCCTCCTTCTTCTCAGCAGGTGGAACAGCATTCTGAGCCTGCAGGGGCTGGGGGATCTGGGTGTACTGAATCTTGGGCGGTATCACAGGCACAGCTCTAGCCTGGCACATCTTAATCATGAAGGAGGTCCTGACTGCCGACACACTGACGGGGGCAGAGTTACGACGGCCAGTGCTGGCATGGGCCACTGCCAGGTAATCCAAGTCTAGATCCACAGGGGAATTGAAACTAGACCCCCAAGGAACACCTTTACTGGCAGCAGGGCAGTGTGTTGGCAGGGATGGGACAGAATCACTGCTTTTTACTTCCTTCTGCCCATATAGGAGATTCCCAGGGAGAGATGGCACGGACAGGTTCTCGAATGTGAAGAAATCTGGGGCTGGGAGGAGCGAATCCAAGTTGAGGGAGGAAGGCCTAGTCTTTACTTTGCGAGGTGTTTCTTCACCTTTATTACTCAGCTGTGACTCAAGGGCAGAGCACAATGCTTTGGTGACAGTCTCTCCTCCCAGGGCAGTGTCCTGAGAGATGGATAACTCCTCCTTTGTGTTCTTTGTCTGTGAAGAACTGTCTGGGCTCTTTTGGTAGGGCAAAAACAGCTCAGGCTTTGAGGTCCAAGGGTTTTCTTTGCTCACATCCACTTTCTTTTCCTCTGGCTCTGAAAGAGGTATTCTGTAGGGTCCTGCTTTCTCAGCTGGTACTTCCTCCCTGCTGAGGGCATACTTCAGCTTCTCAGGTTTTGGAGATTCTTCTGGAGGACTTGGGCCATTCTCATCTTGTGTTGCTTTGCCCAAACTAGAAGGAGAGATGGGTTTTGTTTTGGACAGCTCACAAGTCACTGACAGAATGTCACTGTGTGGTTGCTGCTGGTCAGTGGCATCTATGAAAGAGAATGGGATAGTCCATAAACTCATCACTGTGTCTTTACTGTCCAGGGAGAGGCTGCGACTGAATCGTGGTCTAAGGCCTGTCTCTGCTCTCTGGCTCTGTGGATGAAACTCCTGTATCATCTTCTCCTGAATGTCCTTAGAGGTGGGGGAATGGAGAGGGCTTGTAACCCACTGGTGATCCTCCCATGGCTCCACAAGTTCTAAGCTCTGCACATTATCTGTCCAGGCGTCCTCATCATCCTGGTCACCAGCATCCTGGGTTCTGCTAACAGCATGGCCCTCCTTCACCTCTGGGATTCCATCTCCACTCAGTGCCTTGGAGGAGAATGTGTCCCTTTCATCAGTAGTCATTATCTCTTGCTTCTCCCTCTGGGTCTGGACTCTGGTAAGACCATCCTTTTCCCTCTGCTGCTGGCAAGTGCTATCTTTTTCTCTCCCTGACTCTGGACGTGCTCCTTTGGAACAAGAAAATCCATCATTTGGGGCAATCTTATTAAATTCCGATTGACTATGAATCTTCTGGTCCAGGCTAGGAGCAAGACATTCACTCCTGCTGTCCACCATTGGGTGGTGGTTCTTTGGAGTGACTGTACCAGTTGGAAGAGTGCTCAGTTCAGGTAGGGATGAGCCACAGCTCTGCTGTGCAACTGCATCAGACTGGCAGTCGTGAGGGCTGTCTTGTCGCTCCATGCTGCTGGCACCAAATAAGGGCACCTGAGTTACTTGTGATGCTCTGCTTGAAGGTGTCTGCTCAGCTAGTGTTGGACTCTGCCCTGGACCAGAGGAAAGATGGTCTGTTTGTACTGAAGAAGAAGATTCAGAAGTTCGGCTTGTCTTGGGGGCAGCTGCTGGCAAGAGCAAGAGCTCCTCTTCAGGTTCAATAATTTTCAGTTCCTGCTGTATCTCTGGCCACAGAGGTTCTAGAAGGGCATTTGCCGCGTCCTCCTCAGTCTGAAAAACAAAAGAAATGCCATGACCTGGGAGCTCACAACTCTACCAGTAAATACCCCTCAATTTTCCCCAAACAGCTCTCTCAGAACAGAGAGGGTCCCAGATGAGCACGTTCATAGGTACAGAAATACAGACACACATATGGCTACCAGTTCAAGGAAGGAA